CTTCCTTTAAATTGATTTATCTCAGGCCATTGGTCAAAGTGACCAAAAGCAGATTAAGACACCGACCCTGACTCTAAATCCAATTTGAATATCTACTGGATATTTAAGGTGTTCATCAGATTTTCTGACATATCAAATCCATCTATTCAATGATTCCCTTCTGCTTTCAGTTCTTTTATTTGATTTTATGGTAAAGATGCTGTACAGAGGGGTTATAGTGACATGAGTAAGGTAATGAGTACATTTCTTGTTGAGCTCCCTCTCTGTTCTTTTTTTTTTTTTTTGGTCAGTTGTGGGGCTTGAACTCGGCCTGGGCGCTGTCCCTCAGCTCTTCAGCTCAAGGAGAACGCTCTACCACTTGAGCTACAGCGCCACTTCTGGTTTTCTAGTGGTTTATTGGAGATAAGAGTCTCACAGACTTTCCTGCCGGGGCTGGCTTTGAACTGTGATCCTCAGATCTCAGCCTCCTGAGTAGCTAGGATTACAGGCATGAGGCACCGGTGCCTGGCTTTCCCTCTCTGTTCTAAGCATCAGTGTATACTGGGTAATCCAATTAGATAGCTTACCTCTGTCATCTTTGACTCCTCCAGCGTCACTACATCTGTTGACTCACCTTCTTTTGCTACCTCTAGCTCCTAAAATGTCCACAGTGCTGAGGATGTAGCTCAGTGTATGAAATTATGCTTAGTTCAAACCCAGTACTGGAAAAAAACAGTCTCTTGAATCTGCCTCTCCTTTCCTCTACCTGGTACTGTGCTTATTCGTTTCCCTTATCTTTACCTCCCCAAATCACTTTGTGTTACATTTTATTAGTCAGACCTTTTGTCCTAGGGGGTGGAGGTATGGTTCAAGTAGTAGAGCATCAGTCCTGAGTTCTAATCCAAAAAGACTTTCAACATTTTTTTTGGGGGGGGGGGTCCGGTCGTGGGGCTTGAACTCTGGGCCTGGGTGCTGTCCCTCAGCTCTTCAGCTCAAGGTGAGCACTCTACCCCTTGAGCCACAGTGCCACTTCCAGCTTTTTTTTTGTGGTGCTGAGGAATCGAACCCAGGGCCTCAAGCATGCATGGCAAGCGCTCTACCACTGAGCTACCTTCCTAGCCCAACCTTCAACATTTTTTTTGTGAGTTCATTTTACTTTTTTGCATTCCTGGGAAAGGCAGTGAATTAATTTCCATGTCTTTTTGAGCAACATGGCTGTAGTTTCTACTAAGTATCAGGAAGCTGAGTTGCTTTCACTCCGTGGAGGAGGGTCTTCCAAAGGGTTGAAACTAAAATAAGAGCTGCCACCACTGCAATTTTCTAAAGATCTGTACCTAAAATGATGACCCCAATTAGATTCCCTTTCTCATCCTGGATGCCCTCGTTTCTTCCTCCTCCCTGGCATACGTGACCCAGCAGGGAAGCCCAGGCTAGCCCTGGGCTACAGGCCGAATTCGGGACCATTGCCCCGACAGGCCTCCTGGGAAGGAGGACACCGCTCGAGCTCTGCGCGCACAGCGCCGCCTGCTGGGGGAAGGAATTAAAGGCTCCGGAACAGGACCCCATCTACCCTTCCCAAGCCGCAAGGTGGAGAGCCGGAAGTCCTCCAGGATCCCCACAGCCCTGACCCCTTACTCTTCCTGCTGTAGAAGCTCGGATCTGAAATGAATCAGTATGTAAGCTAGGGAACTGTCTCGGTTTTTGCCGTTGGCCACGGCCTCTCTTCCATTGTCATCGGACAGCCCACCCATCCCCTGGGCATTTTGAGGAAATCGGACAGGACTGACAACACGTCCTCGTCTTTCAGTGCGTGATCAGAGGTGGTACTAGCCACAGGAAGATGTTTAGTCTCCAGATTGTACTGGTCCAAGTTCATGGCTCACATTCCAAGTGAAGCTGGACAGAGGACAGTGACCACCAAGTGCTCTGTGTTGGTCCTGGTCTTGATCCCTGTCACCTCTAAGAATAATGTCCCTGTCCTTTAGCCCTTGTCTCCACACCATGATTGTGTTTCTCAGACAAACTTATCACAGACTTATTCTGAATGTTCGTTCCAGGGGCATTCTTCCTGCTGTCTTGTTTTCTACTACCTTGGATGTCAGGATTATCATCATCATCATCATCATCATCATCATCATCATCATCATTATTATTAGTGATTGTTTTTGTCAGTCATGGGGTCTGAACTCTGGGCCTGGGCGCTGTCCCTCAGCTCTTCAGCTCAACGCTTGCTCTCTCCACTTGAGCCACAGCGCCACTTCCAGCTTTTCCTGCTTATGTGGTGCTGAGGAATCGAACCCTGGGCCTCATACATGCAAGGCAAATACTCTACCATTGAGCCACCTTCCCAGCCCAGGATTATTATTATTTTTTTTGGTCGTGAGGCTTGAACTCTGGGCCTGGGCCTGTCCCTCAGCTCTTCAGCTGAAGGCAAGTGCTCCACCACTTGAGCCACAGTACCACTTCCGGTTTTCTAGTGGTTTATTGGAGATAAGAGTCTGGGGGGGCCTGGGAAGGTGGCTCAAGTGGTAGAGCGCTAGCCTTGAGCTGAAGAGCTGAGGGACAGCACCCAGGCCCAGAGTTCAGGCCCCACAACCGGACCCAAAAAAAAAAAAGTCTCAGGGACTTTCCTGCCCAGGCTGGCTTTTAACTGTAATCCTCAGATTTCAGCCTCCTTAGTAGCTTGGATTACAGGCAGGAGCTACTGGCACCCAGCATATTCTGACGGTTCTAAGAAGATATTTGTTGCAAGCATCTTGTTAAAGCAGTCCATTAGCAAAGACTGGAAGGAATGGATCTTATCTTGAAAGATTTCCTAAGATCATTGCCACCCTTTGGCATCCTACATCCAATCAACTGCGTGATTTATAAATGTTACTAGCTCTACTTCAGGAACTCACCTCTTCTCACTACTTTCTCCAAAGGCATGCGTGTAATTAAGAGTCCCCAAACAGATCTAATGGAAGATATGAGCTTCTTGATATCAGACAGTAAGCTAATATTGCAAACAATTGACTAATCTCAGCAAAAAGCTAGGCTGGGCCAGGTGCCAGTAATCCTAGCTACTCAGGAGGCTGAGATTTAAGGATCAACGTTCAAAGCCAGCCGCAGCAAAGTCTGTGAGACTGTTATCTCCAGTAAACCACTCGGAAGTGGCGCTGTGGCTCAATTGGTAGAGCGCTCGCCTTGAGCTAAAGAGCACAGGGACAGCGTCCAGGCCCAGAGTTCAAGCCCCACCATTGACAAAAAAAAAAAAAAAAAAAGCCAGGCTGGAGGAACAGCTTAAGTGGTAGACTGTCAACTCTACCACTTAAAAATCGACTACTTAAAAATTAAAGTAAAAACTGGGTGTGGTGGCGCATGTCTGTTATCCCAGCACTAGGAAGTATGAGCCAGGAGGATTGGAAGTTCAAAGCCAATCTGGATTACATTTATTTGAGACTTCCTCCTATCTAAAAAAAAAATAAAGGAGAACACACCAATAGATTATAAAACTAGAATCTTTATGTAAGTGTCCATGTAATTATTTTCCTGTAATTAAAAGTTTGGAGTTAACATTCCAAAGAAAATCACCTATAAAACATTGTTTTAGAGTAATTTCTATTACAGTCTACTCACAATCTAATTTCTGTCATCCCTCAGAATTGCAGATGAGCCCCTGAAAAGGCAGAAATTCTTGGAATGGAGTATGACTGTCCCTACAGTGCACACAATGGTGCTCACATGTAAACTGGACAGTCCTCACCTGTTTCCTAGATTTCTATGAATTGCTGTAAATTTGCTTTGAAACTCCTTAAATGATTGTTGTCTAGAGTATTTCCTAAGCTTTGTTATTATGTCATATTCCAGCATTTAGTTGGCTACTGAAATATTCATTCTTGGGAGTTTCAGCTACTCTGTCAGTTTTAAGTGGCATCTCTCTCTGTTCTGGAATTCCCAAATTTCTTATCTCCTGACCCAACCTTCATTTACATATTGGTTTGATATCTGTCAGAACCTCAGTTTTATTTTGCTTTTCGTCTTCAACTAAGATTGGCCAACTTTTTCTGTAATAACCAATATTCTCTTAGGGAAGCTTTGTGTAATCACTACAGGACCTGTAGATACACTTCAACATTCATATAAACAAAGGTTCAGAGAATTCAATTTATTGCTCTCAGTTTCAAAGTACAAAAACCAAAACCAAATCCAATAGTATCAGGCCAAATAACAAAATTCACAAGACTTAGTTCACAGGTCAGGGTCACACTGTTTTTTTTTTAAATCTATATTTGTATTTTTTTTGTCAGTCATGAGACTTAACTCTGGGCCTGGACGCTGTCCCTCAGTTCTTCAGCTCAAGGCTAGCGCTCTACCACTTGAGCCACAGCACCACTTCTGGTTTTCTAGTGATTTTTATTGGAGATAAGTCTCATAGACTTTCTTGCCAAGGCTGGTTCTGAACCGAGATCCTAAGATCTCAGCCTCCTGAGTAGCTAGGATTACAGGTGTGTGCCCTTGGCGCTGGGCTGGGGTCATACTCTTAAAAGTAGATTGGCATTTAGGGGCCATCCACTTCCTTTCAGATTTGAGAATGGTACTGGAGATTTTTTTTAATAAGATTTTTTATTGTGAAAATACTGTACAGAGGGGTTACAATTACACGAGCAAGGTAATGAGTACATTTCTTATCAAGCATTGTTGCCTCCTCCTTTGTTTTTCCCGCAACATCCCTTCCCTCTCATCTCCCCAACTACTCTTCCCCCCCCCCCCCCCCCCCCGCTTTTTTTTTTTCTTGAGGCCAAATCAATCACTTCGTTAAGGTTTGAAGTTGGGAACAGGGTCCTGGTGGCTCACACCTGTAATCCTAGCTACTCAGGAGACTGAGCTCTGAGGACTGCAGTTCAAAGCCAACCTGGACAGAAAAGCCCACGTGTCTCTTGTCTCCAACTAACCACCAAAAGCCAGAAGTGGGGTTCTGGTTCAAGTGGTTGAGCTCCAGCCTTGAGTGAAAAAGCTAAGGGATAACACCCAGGTGCCCACGACTGGCACGGAAACAAAAACAAAAACAACCTGGGGGTTGGGGTGGGTAAGGAAGCGATTGAAAAGACATTGAGGACAATGAGGTCTCGTCTTTGACAGGGCAGTGTCTTCCTCGCCTCGTGGTTTTGGAAGCCCTTGTATCTTAACTCACCCTGGAATGTTGGAACTAGCTTTGCATTTCTGTGAAGAATCATCACCTCAGATGGCAGGCAGAACCAATATCTGGCCTCTCCTCTCTTTGTCGGTTGTGGGGCCTGAAGGCTAGCGCTCTACCACTGAGCCACCTTCCCAGCCCCTCTTTGACTCATAGCTGAGAAACATAGCCAGTGATGCTTCATAAGAGCACAGGCCTGCGTGAAGTAGGCCCGCTGCTCGGGCGCTAGGACTGCGGAGGCTCGGGCCTCAGCTCCAGTCGGCTTCGATCATGGCGAACAGCTGGCTCCGCCTCTTCTGGACGTCGGGCTCCCGCGGGGCGCGGCAGGGCTTGGCGTGCACTCGGACGTGCGCCGCCAGCTTGGACTTGTAGAGGAAGCCCTTGCCGCAGTCGCCGCAGGCGAAGGGCCGCTCGGGCCGGTGGATGCGCTGGTGGCGGAGCAGGTGGCCCCTCTCCCGGAAGTCCTTGCCGCACTCGGGGCAGCGGAAGGGCCGCTGCCCGGTGTGCAGGCCGCGGTGGCTGAGCAGCTGCGCGCGCAGGCGGAAGGCCTTGCCGCACTCGGGGCACGGGAAGGGCTTCTCGCCGGTGTGGGTCCGCACGTGCTCCACCAGCTTGGAGCGCTTGGCGAAGCCCTTGCCGCACTGGCAGGGGAAGGGCATCTGGGCGCCGTGCAGCAGCTGGTGCGCCTTCAGGTCGGCCTTGACGCGGTAGCTCTTGCCGCAGTCGGGGCAGCGGAAGGGCCGCTCCCCGGTGTGCAGCCGCTGGTGGCTGCGCAGCTGCCCCCGCAGGCGGAAGCGCCGCCCGCACTGCGGGCAGGGGAAGGGCCGCTCGCCGCTGTGCAGGCGCAGGTGCTCGGCGAGCTTGGACGGCCGCGTGAAGCCCTTGCCGCACTGCGCGCACGGGAAGGGCCTGGGCGCGCTGTGGGTGCGCTGGTGCGCCCGCAGCACGCCCCGGAGGCGGAAGCTCTTGCCGCAGTCCGGGCAGCGGAAGGGCCGCTCCCCGCTGTGCAGGCGCAGGTGCTCGCGCAGCTTGCAGGGGTGGGAGAAGGCGCGGCCGCACTCGCCGCAGGGGAGCGGCCTGGGGTCGCTGTGCCCAGGCAGCGATGCCCGCAGCAGGCTGCGCAGGCCCGAGCGCGCCTGGCCCTGGGCGCGCGCCTGGCCCTGGGTGCCTTGGAAGGGTGGCTCATCCGCGGGGGCCCGCGCGCCACGGGGCCTGCCCCGGGCCTGGCCACGCTCGCCGCGCGAGACCGGCCGTCCCCCTCGTCCTCGCCAGGAGGTGGGCGCCTTGGCCCAGTGCGGGCTGTCCTTGGGGGTCGCGGGGCCGAGGGGCTCCCAGGAGGGCTCTGGGCCCTCGCGTGGGACGGGGTGGCAGGAGAGGGTCTGCTCTGGATGGGAGCACACGTTGCATTTGGGGCCCGGGGCTGGACTCTTCCTGGCCAGGCGTCTCAGCAGATACCGCTTCCCCTGGGAGCTTCTCCCACACGCAGGACACGGGAGCGGCCTCGGGGCCCCGGCCACGTCCCAAGGCCGCTGGGCTTTTGCAGGGCCCGTGGCTTTCCTTCCAGCCCTAACAGGCGGGTCCTTGGTGTGGCCCACGTGGTGCCTCACTAAGTGGTTTTTCTTGCCAGAGTTCTCCCCACAGACGAGGTGAGGGCGTGGGACACTTGGCCAGGACGGGGCTTCCTGCGGGCCAGGGAGACCCGCAGCTCTGTGCCTTGGAATTCCCTCTTCATGGGCAGACATGCTAGAGCCATGGGCCACCGCAGCCAGAGCCAGTGTGTCAAGTCTCTGTGGGGTCATGAGGCCGAGGCCCGACTCTGGCCTGAAGGAAATGTCTTCCCTCTCTCCTAAGAAGGGTCCAGAGGATTTGTGGCCCTGAAAAGGATCTAATTGAAAATGGCATTTAGTCTCCTGATTCTACAGCTTGCTGGCTTCTTCTTTTTATTATTTTTTTATTTTTTTTGTAGGTCATGGGGCCTGAACTCTGGGCCTGGGCACTGTTCCTCAGCTCTTCAGCTCAAGGCTAGCACTCTACCACTTGAGCCACAGCGCCACTTCCGGCTTTTTTCTTTTGCTTATGTGGTGCTGAGGAATCGAACCCAGGGCCTCGAGCATGCAAGGCAAGCACTCTACCACAGCCACCTTCCCAGCCCCTTTTTCTGCTTATGTGGTGCTGAGGAATCGAACCCAGGGCCTCATACATGCGAGGCAAGCACTCTACCACTGAGCCACCTTCCCAGCTGGCTTCTTGAAATCAAAAGCAAACAAGTTAGTCTTCCAGTCTGTGACTTGAGTAAAACTCATCACACAGATTTACTCCATCTTACATACAGACATACCTGCTGCCCCAAGGTATCGACAGCAGTTAAGTTTCTAACACAGCCCCCACAAATCCCACAGCTTAATGTCATCTGTGTATTTTTTTCTTTTTGGGGGGGGGGGGTCCGGTAGTGGGGCCTGAACTCTGGGCCTGGGTGCTATCCCTCAGCTCTTCAGCTCAAGGCTAGCTCTACCACTTGAGCCATAGTGCCACTTCCCCAGCTTTTTTCTTTTTGCTTATGTGGTGCTGTGGAATCGAACCCAGGGCCTCAGGCACGCAAGGCGAGCACTCTACCACTGAGCCACCTTCCCAGCCCCATCTGTGTATTTTTTTGACCCTAAGACCAGGCAGGAAGAACTGGCTCTATTCTAGAATCCAGGGAGAGGGGAGCCATTTGGTCACAAAGATAAGAATGAATATCTTTTGTTCTCTATCATCTACTATCAAAAAAACACTGCCATTAGCAAGCTCTACTGTGTGCCAGGCCCACTTTAACACTGCACTAAACCTGCAATGTAGGTACTTTCATTAGCTTCTTTTTATAGATCGCAATGTGAAATATGGAGAGGTTTAATCACCTGCCCAAGGATACTCAGAAAAAACAAGACCAGACTCTAGTTCCAGATCCCACACTCCTAAGTACTATGCTTTACTCCCTTTCTCTAGAACATATGAGACATCTAGTCTCAGGTCAGCCAAACAGGAAGACAAGATTATAGAAAGAAATGTTATCTTAACATCAGGACCTTGGTTTCTTTTTGTGGTGGTTGTTGATTTTGAGGCTTGAACTCAGAGCTTGGGCGCTGTCCCTAAGCTTTTTTGCACAAGGCTATTGCTCTACCACTTTAAGCCACAGCTCCACTTCCAATTTTTGAGTGGTTAATTGGAGATGAGTCTCTCGGGGACTTTTCTGCCTGGTCTAGCTTCAAATCTTGATCCTCAGTTCTCAGCCTCCTAAGTAGCTAGGCTTTCAGGCATGAGCCACTGGTGCCCGGCATAGGACCCTGGTTTCTTTTTTTTTTTGTCGGTCGTGGGGCTTGAACTCTGGGCCTGGGCGCTGTCCCTCAGCTCTTCAGCTCAAGGCGAGCGCTCTACCACTTGAGCTACAGCGCCACTTCCGGTTTTCTGGTGGTTTATTGGAGATAGGAGTCTCACGGTCTCTCCTGCCCAGGCTGGCTTTGAACCGCGATCCTCAGATCTCAGCCTCCTGAGTAGCTAGGATTACAGGCGTGAGCCACCAGCGCCCGGCTAGGACCCTGGTTTCTTAATACTCACCCAACAGCTTTTGCTCTGTCACTGGATCAAAATGCGCCTCAGCAGAGGAATGCATTATGCTGTCTAGTTTCTTTGATTCTTCCCAGCTCTTGAAGGGCTCTCTCCCATGTTCAATCCAGAGTATTAGCTCTGGTTTAGAAAGATCACTGTCTGCACAGAGAAGTCAGACAGGGAAGCTTAGCTTAGCATTATATTTAAACACATTAAGTGGTTCAAAATGTTCACAGGAATATTAGCCAAAGAATATGGGTAAAAAGTCCTTGTGAGTTAATATTTTTGGGAAATCTAACTACCAGATGCCAGACATCTCAGAGGATCCAGTTCCATGACTTAGCTGAAGTGGAAAGGTTCTTACCTAGAGAGACTAGAGTCTCATAATTGGTTCTCATGACATGCTTGTAGAGCATCTTCTGCCAAGTCTGCAGATGTTGCCATTCCTGCTCTGAGAAATAAATGGCAACGTCCTCAAAAGTCAGCGGTAACTGCAATACCAGACAGAATACAGACACAGTCATGATCGCAGCAATGACTCCATCTCCCTCTCAGCAATTTATTTTTCTTTAAGGTTTTGCCAAGGATTTTATTTATTTGTGTTAGTGAAATGAGCTCCCTTCCCATAGCTTAGTCCACTCCTTCCCCTCTCCACAGCTTAGCACGCTCCCTTCCTAGGCAACACTAAGCCCATGTTGTAAAGGCAGTAAATAATCAACCTCCAACCCCTTTACCTTGGGATGGCTCTTCTCTGGGGCAGCCACCACCATAGAAGGCAGCCAGAGCCCCTTAGAGTGACCTTCAGGTCTGGGCAGCTGCAGAGCCCCTTATCTACTATTTGGGCAGCAGCCATAAATCCTAGTTCGCCATGATGAAGGCCCTGGCCCTCACGTTCATACCAGGGTCTCCACCTCCAAGCCCATTCTAGCCCCTCCTAGACCTCCTAGGTTACATAGGTCACCCCAGATGATAGCGGGTGCTTCTTCTCACTTCTCCCTTGTGAGAAGGAGTCTTGCTGGCCCCTTTCCTGGCAATCAACCTTTCTTTGTTCTCTGTACCTGGATGTCTGCATGGCTGTCTGGCAAAGTCCAAGTAATCAATTTTATCTATCTATCTATCTATCTATCTATCTATCTATCTATCTATCTATCTATCTATCTATCTATCTATGTTGGTGATGGGGCTTGAACCCTAGGCCTGGGTGCTGTCTCTGAGCGTTTGCACTCAAGGCTAACATTCTACCATGTGGAGCAACTTCCAGTTTTCTGGTGGTTAATTGGAGATAAGGCTGTCACAGACTTTCCTGCCTGAGCTGGCCTTGAATTGAAATCCTCAGATCTCAGCCTCCTGAGTAGCTAGGATTACAGGTGTGAGCCAGCAGCACCCTCTATGAATTTATTTAGTATAAAAGGATGAAGTAGGGAGAAATGGGAGAGAAACCTTTCCTGCTTCCTCAGCTCTTCAGCTCAAGGTGAGCACTCTACCACTTGAGCCACAGCACCACTTCTGGTTTTCTGAGTGGTTTATTGGAGATAAGAGTCTCTCGGCCTTTCCTGCTTGAGCTGGCTTTGCACCACGAGCCTCAGATCTCAGCCTCCTGAGTAGCTAGGATGACAGGCCTGAGCCACCATGCCTGGCCAAGACTTCCTTCTTATGAATTTAAATGGTTTGTGTAGAAGACAATGGTTTAGTTTTCAGCAGCCTTCCTCCCGCCCCCTCCCCAGTACTAGAGCTTAAACTCTGTGCATTGAGTTCTTTCTTGGCTTCACTGCTCACAGCTGACACTCTTAAAGATGAGAGCATATCACTGTAACTTCAGTTACTTAGAATGTCACAGTCATTTTTTCCAGGTCATGCTTTTTGCTGGTTACTTTGAAAATAGGAGTCTCTCAATCTTTTTTGCTTAACTGGCTTCAAAATGGAGTCCTTCGGATCTCAGCCTTCTGAGTAGCTAGGATTAGAGTGCCCACAAGAAAAAAAAAGTATGCTAATCTTGGGATTTGAACCCAGGGTCTGGCACTGAGCTTTATTTTTGCTCAAGGCTAACACTCTACCACTTGGGCTACAGCTCCACTTCTGACTTTTTTAGTGCTTAAATGGAGATAAGAAGTCATGGACTTTCCTGCCTGGGCTGGCTTCAATCCACCATCTTCAGATCTCAGCCCCCTGAGGACTCAAGTGTGAGCCACTGCACCCAGCTAAGAAAAATATTTTTATTATAGTTTTTTCATCCACACAAATGACAAATCTTCCATTTATTTAAAATTCTCTCCTTAAAGGTGCTACATATTTTTAGCACATTTAACCCTAGAAGTTGTGGGCTTTGTTGGGTGATATAGGATAGTTTAAAATTAATGAGCTCAACTCATTTAATAATCAGCAAACATGTTCAATACAAAAGTGAGAAAAACATAATAAAAATTAGCCAAACAGCTCACATGCCCTACAATGGATGAGACCAAGAAAATATGATATGTATAAATATATATGTATATATGTACATATATATGTATAAATATATGTATATACAATGGAATTTTAGTAATCCATCAGGAAAAATGATTTTATGTTATGATTTTCAGGGAAATGGGTGGCTCTGAGAAACATTATATTAAGTGAAGTATGGCTCAGAGAGCAATGTATGTTATCTCTCATATGTGGATGTTAGATTTAAATTAAAAACATATATAAAACTATACAGGGTCATATGTATATATGCACAAACAAACTGAGGAGATTCCAATGGTATAACTACTTTGGACGGCAAAATGAGCAGTTTAACAAGATGAGTACCAAGAAGCTAAAGCAAGGTTTGGGTTTTTTTTTTTTGGTGGGTGGTGAATGGAGAAGGGGAGATAGGTGGTAGGTGGATGTAGTCATTATCTTCAATGTACATCTGTGAAAATAGAACTAGGAAACTTGAGTCAATGGTTGGGTGGGGAGAGAGGAGGGAGGATGAAAGGGGTGACACTGATTAAGATGCTTTGTTGAACTGAAATCCCTTTGTACAACTATTTAAAGACAATTTTAAGCCAGGTACTGGTGGCTCACACCTGTAACCCTAGCTACCCTGGAGGCTGAGATATTGAGGATTTCAGTTCAAAGTTGGGGGAAAGGAAAGGCCACCAGTAAACACCAAAAAGCCAGAAGTGGAATGGTGGCTCACTTGGTAGAACACCAGCCTTGAGCCAAAAAACTCAAGGGCAGTGCCCAGGCCCTGAGTTCAAACCCCAGGATTAGCATTTGTAAAAAGACAGGATTTTTTTTTTGGGGGGGGGGGGACAGTTCTGGGGCTTGAATGTGGGTCTGGGCACTGCCCCTGAGCTGCTTTTGCTCAAGGCTAGTGCTCTACCACTTTGAGCCACAGCACCACTTTGGGCTTTTTCTGCTTAGGTGGTGCTGAGGAATCGAACCCAGGGCTTCATGCATACAGGGCAAGCACTCTACCACTAAGCCACCTTCCCAGCCCTAAAACGACAATCTTAAAATAAGTAAATAAATGCTAAAGGACTTAAAAAAAAAAATCAGCCACTTGATTCCAACCAAACTCCAAGTAACCCAACACCACATTTACTATCTCTGCAAGGCTCTCATTCATTCAGGACCGCCAACACACCATTACAAGATCGCCAAGCTTCATCTTTAGACAGTGGTTCTAAGTCCAGCGGCTAAGCGGTGACGCTGCGGCTGACCTCTGACCTCCGGTTCTGAGTCCAGGGGGAAAGCTGTGACCCTGCAGCTGACCTCTGACCTCGCGTCGGCCCCTTGACCTGCTCTCGGCGCCCGCCAGGAGCCGCTCGCCCTTCCAGCGGCTCTCTGCTTGGTTTCGGGTTTTGGCCACGGTGGCCACTGGCTCCTTCCAGGGTCGGACCCCGCACCCCAAACCTAATTGGGCCTGGGGCCAGGCCCCACCCCGTGGGACCTAGGACGCCGCATCCCGAGGACCCCGAAACCCGGGATCCCCACTGACAGCCCCTTACCGGAGCCAGCTCGGCCATGGCCCGCTGTCCGGTGCACTGCCCGGGCTGGGCGCTGGCTCCGGTAACGCCCACCGTCCTGACGGCACCGTGCCAAGTCCCGCTCCGCCGCGACCCCCAGGTCCAGCCCGGCGGCCCCCGGCCCGGCGCGCTGCGCGGGGCATGCTGGGAGGCGGCCGCTCGCGCCGCAGCGCCCCCTGCCGGCGGGAGGAGCGCGCGCCGCCCGGGCCCGCCCTCGGGGAGCGCCCAGGGGACACAGCCGAGAGACTGTGAATCCCAGAGCCAAAGCGGAGGCCGGACCGGGACACGCCACCCAGGGTCAGATTGATCCTCCCCCGGCAGCCCTGAGCTGAGGACGGGCACATGGGGTCCATCAGGCAGGATTCCTAGGAATGGAGACCAGCACTGCCAGGAGGTGCCAGGAAGGGGTGTCCCCTCTCAGAACGAGGACAAAGGGGTGCACCTGCCAGAAAGCAAGCCTTCTTCCAGCCAGGCTGGGTGCTGCTGGTTGAGGGAACTTCCAGGACCTGGCACAGGCCCAGCTCCCTCCCTTGATTATAGAATACTTGGAACCAAGAGGAGCTGTCCTCTAGGCCTGGGGCCATTATGAACAGGTGGATAGAGATGCCAAGGGATGAGGGCAGGGCACCCACAGCATCCTGGGGGAAAAGAGGTGGAGAATGAGAGGGAAAGTCGGGAGGGAGATGGAGACACACAAGTTAGGGGCTAGGCAGACATCAAAAAGAGAGAAGTTTAATGGAGAAGCCGAGCCAGAAGAATGATGTGTTCAAAGCCAACCTGGGCTGCATGGTGTAACCCTGTCTCTAACAACAGAAAAGCCCAGTACTGATGGCCTATAATCCTAGTTTTTCAGGAAGCAGATTTCAGGATCAAGGTTCCAACCAGCTAGAGCCAACAAATAGGAGAGACTAATTTCCAATTAGCCACCAAAAAGCTGGAAGTGGTGGTGTGGTTCAAGTGGTAGAGCACTAGTCCTGAGAGAAAAAAAAAAGTAAGAGCTTGAAGGCCCGAGTCCAAACCCCAGTTTCAGCACCACTACCTCCTCCCCCCAAAAAAAGACCTGGAAATATATGTATGGAAAGCAAAATCAATAAGGAGAAATGCACAAAATGCTCATTGACTATATAGGCTATAATAAAGTCTCTAAATACACTATAGTTTGTTCATATTTTCAATTTTATATTCAGAAAATTATTTATAACTTAAATTGATAAAATAGAAAGTTACTGTCTGTAGCTCAATACACTATAGATCGCTTCCACAATTTTTTCTCTAGAAATTGGGTGAAACACAAAACATTGAGGACCTGGGCACTGTCCCTGAGCTTTGTTGCTCAAGGCTAGTGCTCTACCACTTTGAGCCACAATGCCACTTGTTTTCTGGCAGTCAACGAGATAAGAGTCTTGCAGGCTTCCCTGCCCAGACTGGCTTTGAACCCTAATCCTCATACCTTAGCCTCCTGAGTAGCAAGGATTACAGGCATGAGCCACTGGCATCTGGCATGAGTGCATTTCTTTTTGGACTATGTCATCCCTTTCCTTGCCCACTCCCAGTTTTTCCCTCCCGTTCCTTAATTTTTTAACTTTAAGAACCAATTAAAGGGCTGGGAAGGTGGCTCAGTGGTAGAGCGCTTGCCTTGCATGCATGAGGCCCTGGGTTCGATTCCTCGGCACCACATAAGCAAAAAGAAAAAAGCTGGAAGTGGCACTATGGCTCAAGTGGTAGAGCGCTAGCCTTGAGCTGAAGAGCTGAGGGACAGCTCCCAGGCCCAGAGTTCAGGCCCCACGACCGACCAAAATAAATAAATAAATACTACATTCTTATATTATTAATGTGTTGTATAATAAAATTACAAACCGATTTTCTTGGGAAGGACATTCAGCTTGGTTTTATTGCCTGCCTATTCTATGATGGTGTTATTCTGATTTTAACGGTCACGTTTCCTCATCTGACCACGATGTACACACTCAGGCAACCTCAGATGCCACGCTAGAAAAGATGCCCTAAGTGCCCCAACCAGACGGTGCCCATATGGTCCTGAGTGACAGACACGGGTCTCGGGGCGTTGGCTTGCGTGGATTCTCGGCCTGCTGGAAGCCGGGGTGGCAAGGGCCGCCCGTCGCGTCTCGGCTCACCTCAAGGATCCCCTGCAGCCCACAGCGTGCCGGAGGGGATCTCACGGCCTGCGTGGCTGCCTCGCCCTGACGGGAACACGCCGGCCCACGCGGGCTGCGGCCGCCTCCCGGGGCGACCCCACGGGTGAGTTTTTGCTAATCATCCTCGCTCACCCTGGCCTGGTCTTCCCGTCCCATTTTTGCACTCTCCGCCCCTCTCTACCGGCTCCAGGACAAATGCGGCCTGACAACGGGGCCTCCGTGAAGGAACACCCGCCCCAGGTCCTCGGGCGCGCTTCCCGGGGGAGCGTGCAGAACAGACACACGAGGCTGGCCTTCGCGCGCACCAGCCGACGGCGGGCGCCGCCAGGGGGCGCTCCGGCCGCGCGGGCGCACGGGCGAGCGGCGCGTCTAGGCCGGCGCACTCGCTGCCCTCCCAGCCGCCAGCTGAGGACCGCTGCAGCTGGTGCGGCACGGGCAGCTCCGCACCCAGCCCCGCCGCGACCCCGCGCTCCCGAGGCCGGGCTGCCGTGCGGGCCTCGTCGGTGCGAGGAAGGCAGGGCCGTGCCGCGACGCCTGCGGGAGACCACCGGGGCCGGCGCCTGCGTGGAGCGGAGACGGCGGCGGAGACTCCCGGGACCGGGCCGGGCAGCGCAGGGCCATGGCCGAGGCGGCCGCAGCTCCGGTAAGCGCGGCGCGCGAGGGCTGCGGGGACCCCGAGTCCCGGGAGGAGGAGGACGGGGCGGGGGGGGAACGCGGTTGGGGCCGCGTTTGCCGAGCCCGGCTCTGCCGCCGTCTCGCCCCGAGCGGCCCCCCCCCCCCCCGCCATCCGGGCCCGCGGGTCCGCGGACGCGCCCGGCCCGCGGCCCCCCAGCTCTGCGCTTCCGGGGTGACTGCCCCCCCAGCTGTTGTTTCCTAGCCCAGACGCGCTGCCCTGCCTCGCCTGGCATCCGTCTGCAGGGCCGGGAAGTGGGCACGGGAGGTTTTCTCATCGCCGTTCGTTCGTGCGGGCCCGACCCCCCCCCCCCCCGAGAAAGACGCGAGACACCCCGAGGCCCTGCGGGAACCTCCGCCGGAGGAAGGGCTGCGCGCTCGCAGTGGGGTAGCTACGCGGGTGCTTGTTTACTGCGGGCCCAGCCGTGCACCCGTTGCTAGGGGTCACCGAGGCAAACGGTCCAGCCCACAGCCCCCCCCAGGCACATAGTCCCCCCCCACGCAACCCTCCCACAACCCCCCCCCCCCCCCCCCCCCGCACACAGACCCTTGAGACGGAATGGTCAGTATTTCTTGGAAGCATCTTCTCAGGGGGAGATGTTTTAGAAGGTCCAGTGATCCGTGGTTGGAAAGTGAGTGAAAGCAGCAGAGGGAAGCCAGCCCTGGCTTGGGGTTGCGAAAGGAGCCAAGGAGAATGACACTTGTTTCCCCCCCCCCCCACTCCCCCTACCCCCACCCCTCGGCCTTTTGTCCCCCTCCAAAAAAAATTAAAATGGTAGAGACCTTTAATGAGTTCTATAGAAATATGCTCAAAGTGACACATCAAACTTTAGGTTCCAGCCACTCACATCTGTAATCCTAACTACTCAGGAGGCTGAGTTCTGAGGATCCTGGTGTGGGCAGAAAAGGTCCTGAGACCCATCTCCAATGAACCACCAAAAAAGCCAGCAGTGAGGGGCTGGGAAGGTGGCTTAGTGGTAGAGTGCTTGCCTTGTATGCATGAGGCCCTAGGTTCGATTCCTCAGTACCACATAAGCAGAAAAAGCTGGAAGTGGTGCTGTGGCTCAAGTGGTAGAGTGCTAGCTTTGAGCTGAAGAGCTGAGGGACAGCACCCAGGCCCAAAGTTCAGGCCCCAGGACTGACACCCACACACCCACACACACAGAGCCAGAAGTTAAACTGGCTCAAGTAGTAGAGTACTAGCCTTGGCGTGGAAGAGGCCTAATGGACAGCATCTAGGCCCTGAGTTCAAGCCCCAGTACTGGTATTAAAAACAGCAGTAAGAAAAACTTTAATTTCCTTAGTAGTCATATTTAAAAAGTAAAAAGGACAATGTGATTGGCATATGCCTGAAATCACGCAGGAGTATCATGAGTTCAAGGCCAGCCTGAGCTAAAAAGTGGACTCCTTCCAGACAGATGAATAAAGAAGACTAACGATGGATTTTTAGCTCAATATGTGAAAAATACTATTTAAACAATTATTAATGAGAAAGGTGCTAGTGGCTGACACTTAGAATCCTAACTACTCCTAAGTGTCAGCCACTAGCTTAGAATCCTAAGGATTGAGGTTGGAAGTCAGGACCAGCAAAAAAATATTGGAGGGGGTGGCAAAGGAAAGAAAGACCCTATAAACAAATCCAAGAGACTCTCAGCTCCAATTAACCAACAAAAAGAAGTAAAGGTGTAGCTCAAGTAACAGATTCCGGCTTTGAGTGGAATAGCTAGGTAAGTTCACAAAACCCTGACTTCAAGCCCCAGTATGGAGGATATAGATCGGTAAATCTACCTATCTCTCGCTCTCTTTCTCTGTGTATATATGTATATGTATGTATGTATGTATTCTGCATTTCAAGTACTCAATGACCACATGGAGCTAGCAGCTCTGGTTCTAAATAGGAAAAAACCTATCTTAATGGAGAATTGGGAGATTATGGCTTGTGTGGTAGTGCACATCTGCAATTCTAGCACTCTGGAGGTGGAGGTCAGCCCGGCCTACATAGTAAGACCTTGTCTCAAAAAGACTTAAGAGGGCTGGGAATGTGCCTTTGTGGTAGAGTGCTTGCCTAGCATTTACGAAGCCCTCAGTACCACATACACAGAAAAAGCCTGTACTGGTGCTGTGGCTCAGGTGGTAGAGCGTTAGCCCTGAGCACAGAGAGGTTCAGGGACACAGCCCAGGCCGAATGCCCCAGGACCCGCCAAAAAAAAAAAAAAAGAAAGAAAATAGAGTGAAAGAGGTTGGCATTCTGAACATTGGTAGAAATTGGCTTCGGATAGGGTAATTTTTTTTTCCCCTTGGGAAGCAAAGACAGCATGTATTGACTGATAAGTTTCAAGTGGGAAAGTGTATGAAGTCTGGATTTTTTTTTAGGGGGGGGCAGTTGGTCGTGGGCCTTGAACTCTGGGCCTGAGCGCTGTCCCTCAGCTCTTCAGCTCAAAGCTCTACCACTTGAGCTACAGCGCCACTTCCGGTTTTCTGGTGGCTTATTGGAGATAAGAGTTTCCTGCCCAGGCTGGCTTTGAACTGTGATCCTCAGATCTCAGCCTCCTGAGTAGCTAGTATTACAGGTGTGAGCCACCGGCGCCCGGCAAGTCTGGATTTTTTTCACAAAGTAGGAGGCTATGTCACCTAGAGTGAGGGGCTGTGTGCACAGGAGCTGGTATGGGCTGTGCTTGCTGACTCAGCAAAGGCAGCATCTTCATTTTCCTGCCAGACTTACTGAGTCTGATCTGGATTTTAACTAGATCTCTAGATGATTCTCATATATATTAGTTTGAGGGTGTGTAGCTACTGTATGGTATGAGAAACACTGCCTGCGGGGCACCAGGCTGTGTCACGATGGTTGGAAAGAAGGGAGGTATGGTCAGGGGGCACCATCCTGCCTCCTATTTGCAGTAGGAATTTCTTTCTGTTACACCAACTTTCTGTTTCAATGAGAAAGCTTAACTTTCTTGGAAAGATCTAGACTTAAGCTTGCCAGCCTGAAAATTTCCATGTGTTGATTTTAATCTGCCCCTTTGAATGACAGTCTAGGGTCAAGCAAGTTCGTTTTGCCTTTCGTTTTAGAGCCCTCAGGTATTTAGCAGTGTTTGAGATGTTCTCTCTAGACTGAGCATCTTCAGCTTTTTCGAGTGTTATTGAATGGTATAGTTGTGGTAAACGGGGTGGGTTGCGGGGCCAGAGCGTACATCGGTGAGGGATTCGTCAGGGGGTTCTGATCTCAGGGAAACTTGTAAAGAGTTCTTGTGCACTTCTGCCTTTTCCAGAGAGAGGAGGCAACAGCAGCCTGAGTCTGTGAGCCTCAGAGCAGGCACGCCAGAATGGTGCTTACAGGCCAGTTTCACTTACTCACTCTCTCTCTGAATCCATTCCTGAACCCACCAGAACAATTCTGTTGGCTTTTGATGCCAATGAGCCCCAGAAGGAGGCTGGTGCTAGCCTACTGAGATTAATCTCTGCTGGACACCTCAACACTCCTATGACTGAGGCTTGATGTGAGGGTTCCTTGTAACATCCAATGTCTTGTCCCATCTTTCCATTGCACACAGACTTCGGAATGGGACACCGAGTGCCTTACATCGCTTCAGCCCCTTTCTCTCCCCACACCCCCAGCCGCAAATGAGGCCCACCTGCAAACGGCAGCCATCTCCCTGTGGACAGTGGTGGCTGCCGTGCAGGCCATAGAGAGGAAGGTGGAGGTCCACAGCCGGCGACTGCTACATCTAGAAGGCAGGACAGGGACAGCGGAGAAGAAGCTAGCCAGCTGTGAAAAGACAGTGTCGGAGCTCGGCAACCAGCTGGAGGGCAAGTGGGCTGTGCTGGGGACCCTGCTGCAGGAGTACGGGCTGCTGCAGCGGCGTCTGGAGAACCTGGAGAACCTGCTGCGGAACAGGAACTTCTGGATCCTGCGGCTGCCCCCAGGTGTTAAAGGGGATATACCAAAGGTAATATTTCCCTTCGAGGTATGAAATGGTACCACTTGACCTAACACTAGCAGTAAGCGGCACTCTTGTGTCAGTAAGTTACTCTGATATTTTTGTTTCTCTTTGAAATCTCTTCACACGTCTTATGCTGAAGGAGCCCTGAAGGTGAGGTGTGTTTGGGAAGCACTGTGATGCAGATTTAGAGCTTCCAATGGAAAGACTTCCCCAGCCAGAGGTGGCAATCTGGGAGATGGATTTTCTTCTCTCTCTCTTATGCTTTTTCCTACCTTTTATATCAGTCACCTCTGTCTTCGCTAACCTGTCTGGCAAAATCTTGGTGAGGAAGCGAAATGCAGTATCATTTAAATGAGTTAATTTGAATGTGCTGGCAACTCTGGTGAAAAGTCAGAGGCAAGACAAGATGAGGTTCATGTCAGGGCTGGGGTTTTGTATGGATCTAGGATTGATATGGGTCTCGTCCTGTATGGGACGTGTGTGCTGGGATACTGGGGCCCTGTCCTCCCTGTCCTCATTCTAAACATAGCACACAACCTTAAGACACTTCCAAACATGCCTTTATTAATTTGTTCAACAGACATCTTTTGAACACTTAGTATTTCCTTGATCTACCTCCTGCAGACATAGCAGTGAACAGTTCACTGTTAGATTCTCCAATGTCTTATATTTTGCTGGGGGAAGGAAAAAATAAGCCACATACATACATTGATACTTTGATAAAAGTAAGCAGAATGCATTCTGGTGATCTGTTTTCAAGAAACCATCAGTTCACTTCTCTGCCTTTTGGCTAAGATCAGGTCTAAAAAGATGGCAGAGAAATCCTCATTGAGCAACTAATATTTAAGATGAACAAGAACTTCTGGGAAGGTCTCAATTTTGAGATCTGAGGAAGTCTCCCAGGTAGAACCGCAGAGCTGGCACCAGGTACCTGGGGCATTTGTCACAGGAGAAGGGAGAAGGCCTCCTGTGTTCCAGTGATTGAAGAGGAACATGATTGGGTAGAGTGTCAGTGTTTAGTAGTATACTAGCATCATCTGGCTGGGTGTGATGGCATGATTATAATTCTAATCTCAGTCTTTGAAAGGCTGAGGTAGGAAAATCGGGGTTGTGAGGCCAGACTGGTCTACATAATAATGAGCCCACCCTTTTAAAAAAAGAAACAACAAAAAAAACTCACCTGGCGGGATTCTACTTTTTGGTTTTTTTGGTCAGTCATGGGGCTTGAACTCTGGGCCTGGGCGCTGTCCCTGAGCTCTTCAGCTCAAGGCAAGCACTCTACCACTTGAGCCACAGCACCACTTACAGTTTTCTGGTGGTTAATTGGAGATAAGAGTCTCACAGACTTTCTTACCTGGGCTGGCTTTGAACCGTGATCCTCAGATCTCAGCCTCCTGAGTAGCTAGGATTATAGGTGTGAGCCACCAGAGCCTGGCTGGATTCTACTTTTTTTTTTTAAGTTTACTAGAGACATACCTAGTGAGAACCGAGGCAGGAATAATTTTTAAAGCTTCCAAGAGAATCTATGTGACTGTGGTTGTAATGTCAAGAAGTTTGGCTGGCACTAGACACAGAAACCTGAACTGAGAAAATACCCCCTGCCCAGTGCAATCCTGAGTGTGACTCTTCTTGGGATGTCCCCACGTGATAGTTGCCCAAGCTGCCCCAGGTGGAGATTAGTGTCATCAGTACATCTGCCTGTCTGCTCTGTCAGCGGGCCTCCTGCCATGTGCTCCCTGCGCAGCCCTAACCGACGGTTCAGCCTCATCAGCTGTCCCTCTAGTGTGAACTCAGCCACGGTCTACTAGGCTACTAGGTCACAGTCCTAAGAGCCTGACACCCATAAAGGCTTTGTGATCTTGCTTGGGGGGGGGGGAGGAGAGGGTGTGTTTGGGGGGGAGGTTTTCTCTGGGCCCACCAGTCGGGGGTAAAAATGAGTTAACACAAGTTACTCCTACTGATGGCTTTTTTTTTTTTTTGTCGCCAGTCATAGGGGCTTGAACTCTGGGCCTGGACGCTGTCCCTGAGTTTTTCAGCTCAAGGCTAGCATTCTACCACTTGAGCCACAGCAACACTTGTATCTTTTCCCATGTGTGGTACTGAGGAATCAAACCTGGGGCTTCATGCATCTAGGCAAGCACTCTGCCACTAAGCCACATTCCCAGGCTGATGGAGGGCATTGAAGACCAAGGAAAGGAATTGGGATTTGAAACTTGAGCACAATGAGTTTAAACAGAGGGATTCTTAGCCGGTTGTTTGGAGTGGGAGCAAGAACAAAGCTAGGATTAAGCAATGATGCAGCTGCACCAGTAGGAAAGTGAGAGGTGGATCGCATGCTCAGGGCAGCAGTGCTGGAGAAGCAGTGGATAGAGGCAGATGTCTTGACAGGAGAAGTGGCAATAGGACTTATCGACAGAAATTTTAAAGAAGGAGTTAAAAACAGGAATCATTGAAAATTCACTGTGGGGTACTTAGAACTTACTGTTCTAAATGCTTTTATTTATTTTAAGATACATAATTCTGGGCTAGGAAGGTGGCTCTGGTAGAGTGCTTGCCTTGCATGCATGAGACCCTGGTTCGATTCCTCAGCACTACATAAGCAGAAAAAGCCGAAAGTGGTGCTATGGCTCAAGTGGTAAAGCATTAGCCTTGAGCTGAAGAGCTGAGGGCAGTGCCCAGGTCCAGAGTTCAGGCCCCATGACACACACACACACACACACACACACACACACACACACACACACACACACACACACACACACACACACACACACACACACACACACACACACACACACACACACACACACACACACACACACACACACACACACACACACACACACACACACACACACGATACATAATTCTCATAAGAGCCCTAACTTGTTTAAGATAGAAGGTTAAGCTGGGCGCCGGTTGCTCACTCCTATAATCCTAGTTACTCAGGAGGCTGAGATATGAGAATTGCGGTTCAAAGCCAGCCCAGGCTGGAAAGTCCGTGAGACTCTTATCTCCAATAAACCACTAGAAAACCGGAAGTGGCGCTGTGGCTCAAGTGGTAGAGCACTCGCCTTGAGCTGAAGAGTGCAGGGACAGTGCCCAAGCCCCTAGTTCAAGCCCCACAACTGACCAAAAAAAAAAAAAAAAAAAAAGAAGAAGCTTATCAAGTATGAAATCCAGAATTGTATTTTAACCTAGTTGACTTTAGAGCATACACTTTTTTTTTTTTTTTTTTTGTCCGGTCGTGAGGCCTGAACTCTGGGCCTGGGCGTTGTCCCTCAGCTCTTCAGCTCAAGGCTAGCGCTCTACCACTGAGCCACAGCGCCACTTCCGGCTTTTTGCTTATGTGGTGCTGAGGAATCGAACCCAGGGCCTCTGGCTTGCAATGCAAGCACTCTACCACTGAGCCACCTTCCCAGCCCAGAGCATACACTTTTAAAAGCATACACTTTCCTAAAGCTCTCTGAGTAGGCTCTTGGCTTTCTTCAGAACTGGCCATGTCCTTGAGAATATCTTGGAAGGGTGTGGCCTTCAAAGGAAAGAAGAGCTCTCCTTGGGCTGAAATGTCCGTGGTATGTTCAGGAGGTATAGTAAATAGACTCAAGCTCAAGGAAGAAATCTGGGAGTGACGGAGATAGATAGTGGCGCCAGTTATGACTTTGGAAGCAGTCATCTCATAAGAGAAAATGGAGCCGGGTACTAGTGGCTCACACCTGTAATCCTAGCTACTCAGGAGACTGAGATCTGAGGATCAAAAGCCAGCCTGTGAAACTGTTAAGCCAGCCTGTGAAACTGTTATCTGTGACACTGTGGCTCAAAGTCATAGAGTGCTAGCCTTGAGCAGAAAGAGCCCAGGGACAGTGCTTAGGCCTGAGCTCAAGCCCCACAACCAGCAACAACAACAACAAAAAAAAGATTTAGAAAAAATGAAAACATAAGGTCTTAACACCACAAAACTAGAATAATCAAGAGCCAAACACAAGAATTTAAAATTCCAATGAGATAATGTATTTTGGGAATCTACATGTAGAAGTGGAATAGTAGATGGGAGAATATGATAAACAACTCTGTGGATGTATTTTTCTCAAATCAGAATCTGAATACCAAAGGGTGGGGGTGTTTGTCAGTGGCAGAGCACTGGCCTAGCATGTGTGAGGCCCTGAGATCAACCTTTAACACAACAAAACAAACAAAAACCCCAAATCATAAAACAAGACAACAACAAAGACAGACCCTGAGCACCAGAAAGAAGAATTTAGATATTATAGAAGAAAACTACTGTGAATCAGAGATTGCACAACTGGAGGCAGACAGAGACCTCACTCCAGCCGCTTAGTGTTGACCCCGTAATAGGCAAAAATGAGTATGGTGATTTATTCAAGAAAAAGTCTATTTATCTCAGAAATTAAAATACCCAGAGGCTGAAATAGCAGTAGACTTAAGGGCTAAAAGAACTCTGATGTTGAGGTAGAAAATGTCCACAAAGAGTACAGGTGTGGCAACTGGCTGAGCTTCAGGCCACTGCCAGCTTTCTGGAGGTTCACTGGGCTAGGAAAGATCATTGCACTCAGGTTGGGCTAGAGCTCTGCATAGCATGTGTAAAGCCTTGGGTTTGATCCTTAACACACAACCCAGGGCTGGGAAGATGGCCCAGTGGTAGTGTGCTTGCATTGTACGCATGAGGCCCTGGGTTCAATTCCTCAGCACCACATAAACAGAAAAAGCTGGAAGTGGCTTTGTGGCTCAAGTGGTAGAGTGCTAGCCTTGAGCTGAAGAGCTGAGGGACAGTGCCCAGGCCCAGAGTTCAGGCCCCATGACTGACAAACAACAACAACAAAAAACAACAACAAAACTATAACCCAGCAACACAAGATAACCTTGTAAATCAGCAAGTTAAAATGAATAGTGACCAATGAAGAACTTAAAAATTCAAATTGGGTAGAACAGAACTGGAGGCAACAAGAGCCAAGAATAAATTAGGAAGAGAAAGTAAGATTAAAAGTGAACTGGATGGATAGAAAATGATATTCTCAAATCAGCTATTGAATATCATAGTGTTCTTAGTAGAAAAGGATCTGAAGGTGGGCATTGGTGGCCCATGCCTGTAATCCCAGGGAAGCTAATCAAAAGGCTGAGATCTATAGGATCAAAAGAAAAGTCTTACAGACTCCATCCCCAAGTAGCTACCAAAAAGTTAGGCTGGAAGTATGGCTCAAGTGGTAGAGTGCCAACTGTGACCAAGCAAGCTGAGCAAGCACAAGGCCTTGAGTTCCAAGTCCCTATACTAGCAAGAAAAAAAAAAAGAGCTTAACCTATAGCTCGGAACGGGACCCTATAGTTCCAGTTACTTGGGAAGTTGGGACTGAGAATTTCAGACCAGTTTGATAACAGAACAAGACCCCATCTCTTAAAGAAAGAAAAAAAAAAAAGAATTAGTATGTGAAGCATATATTGCCAAGGAAGAAGTTACAAAAATTTGTGTTATTAAAAAGTGGAAAGCTAAGCTGGGTGCTGGTGGCTCATGCCTGTAATCCTAGCTACTCAGGAGGCTGAGATCTGAGGATCACAGTTCAAATCAGCCCAGGCAGGAAATCCTGTGAGACTCTTATCTCCAATTAACCACCAGAAAACTAGAAGTAGAGCAGTGATCAGAGTAGTAGAGCAAAAGAGCTCAGGGATGGTGCCTAGGCCCTGTCTGGTCTCACAAAAAAAACCAAAACCACAACAACAAAAATAACTTGAGCTTAGCATATTCTCTAGAATTTGGTTTTAGTTCAGCACATTTAGGAACGTGGTTTCTGAAAGCATCTGCAAAGGACCAGTATGAAGAAAAGTGACTTTACAAAGATGACAAAAGAGTTGGTCAATAAAGAACTGGGTATTTCAACAACAAATTGTGAACATTGAAAATGCAGAGAATGAACATTCCTGACCTAAAATAGTGAATCACCAATTTGTAGACCCCAATAATCCTTACTAGTACAGATTTCTGAATTAAAACCAAATACTGAAGGAAACAGTGGAAAAGTGAAACAAAAATACCAAAATGTAAGAAGCAAAACTGAAAAGTGTAACTAGAAATTGAAGACATTGAAAGAGGAACAGTCACATTAATTGAAAGGGAAGCATTGGCTTTATGAATGCTTCATAGAGAAGAAACATATAATCAAGCAAAAAGGAACTATAGTAAGCTGCCATGGCCTAGAAAGAGACAATCTTTTGAAAACATAATGAAGAGATTGAAGAAGAAAGTAGAAGTCATAGAGGCCTATAGAAAATTAGAAACAAAATTTGACAAAATTTCAGCCAGGTGCTAGTGGCTCACATCCATAATCCTAGCTACTTAGAAGGCTGAGCTCTAAGTATTACGGTTTAAAGTCAGGCTGTCCAGAAAAAGTCCATGAGACTTTGCAAGTTAACCACCCACAAAGCCAGAAGCCAGGTGCTAGTGGCTCACACCTGTAATCCTAGCTACTCAAGAAGCAGAGATCTCAGAATTGCAGTTCAAAGCCAGCCCAGGTAGGAAAGTCTGTGAGACTCTTACCTGCAATATACCACCAGAAAAAACAAGTGGTGCTGTGGCTCAAGTGGTAGAGTGCTTGCCTTGAGCTGAAGATCTCAGGGACAGCACCGAGGGCCAAAGGTTAAAGCCCTATTACTAACCCCCCCCCCCCAAAAAAAAAAAAAAGAAAAAAATCAGAAAATAGAGCTGTGGCTAAAATGGTACTGTGCTAGCTTTGAGCAAAAGAAGCTCAGGGACGACACCTATGCCTTGAGTTCAAGTCCTAGGACTGGCACCAAAAAAAAGACAAAATTTCAGCCAGGCACCATGGTTCTAGTTACTCAGGGCTGAGATTTGAGGATAGTGGTTCCAAGCCATCCTGGGCAGGACAGTCCATGAGACTAATCTCCACCTAACTGCCCAAAAGCTAGAAGCAGAGCTGTGCTCAAATGGTAGAGCACTAGCCTTGAGAAAAAAAAACAAAAAGAAGAAAAAGAAGAAGAAAGCTCAGGGACATCACCTGAATTCCAACCTCAGGTCTAGCACAAGGGAAAAGAAGAGAAAAAGACAAAATTTTAAGCCAGGTACCAGCAGATTATACCTGGATATCATGGTTCAAAGCCATCCGTGGCAGAAAAGTAGATAAGACTCCATCTCCAATTAACTAACAAAATTCCAGACTGATGGTGTGGTTCCAGTAGTAAAGTGCCATCCATGAGCATGAAAACTTGAGACCCTGAGTTCAAGCCAACTACTATTCTTTCTCATCCTGAGTTCAAGCCAGATACCATTCCTTCTCATCCAAAAAAGACAAAAATTTCTACTTGGAGAATTTTAAGGCTAGTCTACAGCATACTCCCCCCCCCCCCCCCCCAAATGGAAAACTGACCTAATTCAGCAGTAAGGAGAGAGATACATTTAGAAAACATCACCAAACTCTGTTCAAATAAAGAGAGGGAATGTGAACAGACATCTTTCAAAACTCAGACAAGCTAGACATGGTAGCTCATGCCTGTAGTCCCAATACTTAGGAGGCTGAGGCAGGAGGATCTCAAGTTTGAGGCCCACTTGGGCTCTATACCATTCCAAAATTCCAGGTACTCTCAGAAGGGGCTGTGCAAGATGTTGTTTAAAGGAAACATAGAACACAGTTGGTGAGGATTTCTGTGGTCCTTGAGCGGGTAGCCCTAGGTCTCCCCATTTCTGGGCCAGTTGATGAGAATCCAAGCAAACAACTAAGGAGAATTCATCCATGGTTCCTTTGCCTGCCAAATATGATTTCAGAAACCCACCTTTCTTCTGTAAATGACTTGACCAAGGGACCACTGTTCGAGTATACTTAAAGCTGTATTATTAAGTGGTAAGATCCGGATAAAAAGCTTTTATAATCTCTGTAGGAGAGTACACATCATAATTCATATTATGTGTTTAGTTTATATAAACCAAATGAGATTGGAGAGATGCAGGTTAGTTTGTGATTAAGATCTAGCACTTTGAATCTTAACACTTGGGAAAAGCAAAATGAAGACTTGATGTTGTTACTGAAAAACAAATTTGGAGGAAAATGTAAAAACAACAAAACAAAATGTTAAAATTTGACACTGGTGGCTCACACCTGTAATCCTAACTACTCAGGAGGCTGAGATCTGAAGATGATGGTTTGAAGCTACCCCAGGCAGGAAAGCCCATGAGACTCAAAAAAAAAGCTGGAAGTGGACCTAGGGCTCAGGTGGTAGAATACTAGCCTTGAGCATGAAAGCTTAGGGACAGAGTTCAAGCCCTAGGCTGGAAAAAAAAAAAAATTAAGACTTTGACAAAGTCTTAAGGATTTGCAGAGAAGATAGACATAATGAATTTTGAAGTTAATTTTGGTCTATACATGCTTCTAACATCAGCCCTACTAGCTTTCAGTCATGAGGCAAAAAGCTTTCCTCATGCAGAAGGAAGGACATTGAAAGGAGCAGCATTAGAAATAACACAAAGGGGAGCCTGCTCCTCAGAGATGATACTCTTAGGCAAAGGCAGATCAAAATTGGTGATGTTAGTCTCAGCAGGACTGGTCAGTGTGAGATGCTCTCTCACTGTTTGCAGAGTGCTTGAGTATGCTCAGAAAGGTTCAGCTACATGCTGTAATCCATGAGGGCTGAACTAATGACAAGTGATGGTAAACTATGTCAAAGCTCTTTAGAGTAGGTATTGGCAACTCATGGAGATTATTTTAAAAAATAATAAAAGCAGGGCTGGGAAGGTGGCTCAGTGGTAGAGCGCTTGCCTTGCATGCCTAAGGCCCTGGGTTTGATTCCTCAGCACCACATAAGCAAAAAGAAAAAAAGCCTGAAGTGGCGCTGTGGCTCAAGTGGTAGAGCACTAGCCTTGAGCTGAAAAGCTGAGGGACAGCGCCCAGGCCCACAGTTCAGGCCCCACAACTGGACCCAAAATAAATAAATAAATAAATAAAAGCAACTAATTCCTGGGGAATTGTGATGGAGGGACTAACGCTTGTGATTGTCATTTTAGGTGCCTGTGGCCTTTGATGACGTCTCTATCTACTTTTCCACACCAGAGTGGGAAAAATTAGAAGAATGGCAAAAGGAACTTTACAAGAATATCATGAAGGGCAACTATGAGTCTCTCATCTCCATGGGTGAGGCTGGTTGGCTTTTTTCTTTTTGCATGAGGTGACAGCAGCTCAGAAGGGCTCAGTCCCTTTTCCTCCAGTTCCTCATTCTCTATCCTCATGCACTTCATAGTCTGCTTCCAAGCCAGAGACCAGTTCACATGTGCTCAGTGGGAATCATCACCTCTCCATTGCTGAATCACGGGAGAGAGGGCAGAGAACAAAGTTCGATATTCTGAGTGGGCCATCTGTTGTTTTCTCCTCAGTGCTTACCCTTGAGGCCACCGCCACTCTTACTGTATGAAAGGAGGAGGTGGGAAGAACCAGCATCGAATGAATGCTTTCCCACATAATTACCTTTCCCTGAGCAGATGTCATAAATAGTTGGAGGTGGATGGATGGGGACAAGTGATAGACAATCCAAAAGAAATTTCCAGGACTGTGGGCCTCAAAGATTCAGTTCAGCTTTGATGGCAATTAGTTGTCATTCTCATTTTTCTGTCTCCTTTTCCTCTCCTAGATTACGCTATGAATCAACCTGATGTCTTATCTCAGATTCAACCAGAAGGAGAACATAATACAGAGAACCAGGCAGGGCCAGAGGAAAGTGCAATTCCCACAGATCCCAGTGAAGGTACGTGGGAAAAGGGATTATCCACTCTCCAGCTTCCCTTCTTGGTCAGAAAAGGGGGATCAGCACAATGAAAGCAGTGCCTGTGAGCTTCTAAAGCCATCCAACCCAACAACTGGGTTTGTTCTTGTTTTTGGGGTGTGTGTGTGTGTGTGTTTGCTAGTCCTAGGTCTTGAACCTGGGGCTTGTAATTTCCTTCCTTTCTTTTTTCTTTCTTTTGCCACTCCTGGGGCTTGAACTCAGGGCTTAGGCACTGTCTCTGAGCTTCTTTTGCTCAAGGCTAGCACTCTACCACTTGAACCACAGCACCACTTGCATCTTTTTCTGTTTATGTGGTACTGAGGAATTGAACCCAGGGCTTCATGCATGCTAGGCAAGCACTCTACCACTAAGCGACATTCCCATACTATTTTTTAATTTCAAAAACAATATTTTATCTTCTGATTCAGGCGCTTAAGGCTATTCCTTTTTTTTTTTGGTCAGTTATAGGGTTTGAACTCAGGACCTGGGTACTGTCACTAAACTTTTTTTGCTTAAGGCTAGTACTTGAACCACAGCTCCATTTCCAATTTCTTTTCTTTTCTACAAATAGAGCCTGGTCTTTCAACATCTGATATTCTGTCGTGGATTAAACAAGAGGAAGAGCCACAGGTTGGGGCCCCTCAAGAGGCCAAGGAGAGTGACCTGTACAAAGGAAGCTACCCTGGTAAGTAGCCGTGGAAGAGATGCTCTAGTCCAGATCCAGCTCACTCCAAGAGCAATTTTTTTATTTTGTCAGTTGTGACGCTTGAACTCTGGGCCTGGGCACTGTCCCTCAGCTCTTCAGCTCAAGGCTAGTGCTCTATCGCTTGAGTCACAGTGCCACTTCCAGCTTTTTCTATGTATGTAGTCCTGAGGAATTGAACGCAGGGCCTCATGCATGCAAGGCAAGCACTCTACCACAGAGACACCTTCCCGGCCCCTCAGAAGTAATTTAAAAAACTGCAAAGCCAGCCAGGCATCGGTGGCTCATGCCTGTAATCCTAGCTTTGCAGGAGGCTGAGCTCTGAGGATCACGGTTCAAAGCTAGCCCAGGCAGGAAAGCCTGAGAAACTCTTCTCCAGTTAACCACCAGAAAACCAGAAGTAGCACTATGGCTCAAGTGGTAGAGTGCTCGTCTTAAGCTGAGAAGCTGATGGACAGCACCCAGGCCCACAGTTCAAGCCCCATGACCAACCAAAAAAAAAAAAAATATGGATATACATACTGCAAAGCTGGGCACTGGTGACTCATACCTGTAATTCTACTCAGGAGACTAAGAGCTGAGGATCATGGTTCAAAGCCAACCCAGGCAGAAAAGTCTGTGAGAGTCCCCATCTCCAATTAGCAAAAAGCCAGAAGTGGAGTTGGTGGCTCTTAAGTCATAGAGTGCTAGCCTTGAGCACATAGAGCTCTGGGACAATGCCTAAGCCCCAGGCTCAAGCCCCATGACCCACCAAAAAACAAAGAAGAACAATAAACTGCAACTGAAATGAGTCTATAGAAGCAAGGAAGAGCCAGGTGCCAGTGGCTCACGCCTGTAATTCTAGCTACTCAGGAGGCTGAGATCTGAGGATCACGGATCAAAGCCAGCCCAGGCAGGAAAGTCTGTGAGGCTCTTACCTCCAGTAAACCACCAGAAAACTGGAAGTGGAGCTGGAAGTGGTAGAGCACTAGCCTTGAGCTGAAGATCTGAGGGACAGCGCCCAGGCTGAGTTCAAGCCCCACAACCAACAAAAAAAAAACAAAAAAAAGGAAGTAGAGGGAAAAAGCATATTCAACTAAGTTAGCTGAAAGGCCACTGAGATAAATTTTAACTGGAAAAACATTCTTAAATGCAAAGATAAATTAGAATTGTTTTAGCTGGATGTGGTGGTGCATTCTGTAATACTAGAGAGGCTAGCTATTGAAAGTTAGCGAAACCTGCCAGGTGCTGGTGGCTCACACCTGTAATCCTAGCTACTTGGGAGGCTGAGATCTAAGGATCACAGTTCAAAGCCAGCATGGCAGGAAAGTCTGTGGGACTCTTATCTCCAATTAACCACCAGAAAACTGGAAGTGGCTCTGTAGCTCAAGTAGTAGAGTGTTTGCCTTGAGCTGAAGAACTGAGGTACTGTGCCCAGGCCTAGAGTTCAAGACCCATGACTGACCAAAAAAAAGAAAAAATTAAAGATGTGTCTCAAGTGGTCGAGTACTAGCCTAGTATGTGCATCATAACTTTCAACATCTTCAGTACTTAAAAAAAATGGAATTGTTGGGGTTGGGTATAGCTCAGTGGTGAAGCTTGTGTCTAACCTGCACAAAGCCCTGGATTTAGTCCCTAGCACCAAACTTTAAAAAAATAAACAGAATTATCAGAGGAAGAAAATGAAGTACATACAGATGTACCAAAAGTATGAAGGTCGGGAGCTGGGAAGGTGGCTCAGTGGTAGAGCGCTTGCCTTGCATGAGTGAGGCCCTGGGTTCAATTCCTTAGCACCACATAAGCAAAAAGAAAAAAAGCTGGAAGTGGCGCTGTGGCTCAAGTGGTAGAGCGCTAGCCTTGAGCTGAAGAGCTGAGGGACAGTGCCCAGGCCCAGAGTTCAGGCCCCACGACTGGATCCAAAAAAAAAAAAGTATGAAGGTGAGTGATGATAAACAGAACATTTGGAGATCACGCACATGAAATACCAGCACAGCAGCGGTTTTGGAAGTCTGCCGTCCCTTGCAGGCTGGGGAATTGATCCAGCTGGGTAACTGAGCCTTGTACATGTTAGGCCAGCACACTCCCACTGAGATCACTAAGGAAGAATAGAACAAAAATGGGCATGTAGGTAGGGAGACAGGCAGTCTTCCCTCTGTAAAAGGAAAACAGTGATGGAGAAGAAGCAAATAGTTTCCCTCTAAGTACCATCTTTGTTTTGCCACTTGAATAATAAAAGGATCTCAAGGTCAGAAGAGACTCAGTTTTATACAGCGTAATGCCATCTGTTCTGTAATGTGGTTGATGTTTCAGCTTCTTTGAACTCTGAGAAGTACAAATAAAAAATAAGGCGGGGCCCTGGTGGTTCACGCCTGTACTCCTAGTTTCTCAGGAGGCTGAGGTCTGAGGATCATGGTGTGAACCCAGCCTAGGCAGAAAATTCCATGAGACTTTTATCTCCAAAAACTACTCAGAAAAAGCCAGAAGTGGTGCTGTGGCTCAAGTGGTAGAACACTAGTCTTGAGCATAAAAGAGGCTCAGGGACAGTGCCTAGGCCCTGAGTTCAAGCCCTAGGACCAGAAAAAAAATATATATAGAGAGAGAGAGTTTCTGTCTTTCAAGAAACTTCAGACTAGAAGCCCAGTGCTGGTGGCTCACACTTGTGATCCTAACTAGTCCAGAGGTTGAGATCTGTGGATTGAGATTCAAAGTTAGTCCATACACAAAAGTCCACTAGACTCTTTAGCTCCAGTAAACCACTAGAAAAGCTGGAGCCGTGGCCCAAGTGGTAGAGTGCCAGCCTTGAGTAAAAAAGCCAAATGAGAGGGCAAGGCCCCTAGTTTGAGTCCTAATATCAGCACAAAAAAAAAAAAAGGAGGAGGAGGAGAAACTTAGACTAAGGACACACATATCAGTGCTAAGCATGCATGCCTGTTAAGTTCGAGGAATGCATGGGAGAGTTGATATACAAAAGAAATGAGAGTTTTGAAGCCTGTCATCCATTTTTTTTTTTTTTTTTTGGTGCCAATACTGGCCTTGAACTTGAACCGTGGTCTTGGTCCCTTAGCTTTTTCACTCAAGGCTGGTGCTTTGCCACATGATCCACAGCTCTACCTCTTGTGTTTTGGAGATTACAGACTTTCTTTCCCAGGCTAGCTTTGAACCATAATCTTCAGATCTCAGCCTCCTTAGTAGCTAGTAGTATAGGGATGAACCACTGGCTTCTGTGCATCTGTTTTAATTTGGATATTTAGATAAGGAATTGGAAATTATGTCAGAAATAGGCCTAAAGGTTTGACTGGTTTGAGAAGGCTAGATATAATTTGGGAAGATGGGACCAGCTGGGAAGCATTCTCCAAAAGGGAGAACAAAATAAGCAAAGACAGAGGCAGAAATGCATACTTTATTCTCAGAGAAAGTACAAACAGCTGACTATAATGAAGGTTTTTATCTAATAGCATAGAGAATAGTAAAAAAAAAATTTTGTTATTGGGTCAGTTGTGGGGCTTGAACTCTGGGCCTGGGTGCTGTCTCTCAGCTCAAGATGAGTGTTCTACCACTTGAGCCACCACACCACTTCCAGTTTTCTGAATGGATAATTGGAGATGAGAGTCTCATGGAGTTTCTTGCCTGGGCTGGCTTTGAACCATGATCCTCAGATCTCAGCCTCCTGAGTAGCTAGAATTACAGGCGTGAGCCACTGTGCCCAGCTTACCTTACTTTTTATTTATTATAGCTCACCTCTACTCAAAAGCTTTGTTGCTTATTATAACAAAAATATTTACTGCCGGTGGCTCACGCCTGTAATCCTAGCTACTTCGGAGGCTGAAATCTGTGGATCGTAGTTCAAAGCCAGCCCGGGCAGGAAAGGCCGTGAGACTCTTATCTCCAGTGAACCACCAGAAAACCAGAAGTAGAGCTCTGGCTCAAGTGGTAGAATACGCGCCTTGAGCTGAAGAGCTCAAAGAAAGTGCCCAGGCCCAGAGTTCAAGCCCTAAGACTGACCAACCCCCCCCCCCCCCCAAAAAAAAAAAAACAAAACAAAAATACAAGAACAATAAGGTGAGAAAGACTGATTATGGGAAGGGTTTTTTTTTCCCCCCAGACTGGGAGTGTCACTGATACCACTTTAAATTCCAGGTGGCTTGCCACAGGGACTTCATGCCCTTGTGGAACATGGCAGCAGGGCCATGGCTGAGAATGCATCTGGGGTGTTTAGAACTTGGACAGTTTCTCAGGGCGGGGTAAGACGCCGAGGTGCTTGCCGTAGGCCTGCCTGCACCAACCTAACTCCCGGCTCCTTTCTTTCAGAGGAGCTGGTGGTCAAAGCCGAAGGCCTGGCCAGGACGCTGTGTTCCGAGGTTCCCCCCACCTTCCCTGCCTCGGCGGCACCTGCTGCGAAGGACGCGTTTTCAGAAGCGCCTTTCAAAGGCCAGCAGCCTGCACCCGCGACCCATTTCGGATGCCCGGCCACTGACCTGCCTGAAGCCTCGGAGGGACAGGTGACTTTCACCCAGCTGGGCAGCTACCCCCTCCCGCCTCCACTCGGAGAGCAGGTGTTCTCCTGCCACCACTGTGGCAAGAGTCTCACCCAAGACCTGCTGCTGACACACCAGTGCGGCCATGCCGGGGAACACCTCTTGCCCTGCGCCCAGTGCCCCAAGCACTTTCCCGCACAAGCCGACCTTGGCAGCACCTCGCAGGACCAGGCCGGCGCGCCCCCCCCTACCTGCCCACACTGTGCCCGCACCTTCACCCACCCCTCAAGACTCACCTACCACCTGCGGGTCCACAACAGCACCGAGCGCCCCTTCCTCTGCCCCGATTGTCCCAAGCGCTTCGCCGACCAGGCGCGACTCACCAGCCACCGCCGCGCTCACGCCAGCGAGCGGCCCTTCCGTTGCACGCAGTGTGGCCGGAGCTTCAGCCTGAAGATCAGCCTCCTGCTGCACCAGCGGGGACACGCGCAGGAGCGCCCCTTCTCCTGCCCCCAGTGCGGCATTGACTTCAACGGCCACTCAGCCCTGATCCGCCACCAGATGATCCACACGGGCGAGCGGCCCTACCCGTGCACGGACTGCAGCAAGAGCTTCATGCGCAAGGAGCACCTGCTGAACCACCGGCGGCTGCACACGGGCGAGCGGCCCTTCCAGTGCGCGCACTGCGGAAAGAGCTTCATCCGCAAGCACCACCTCATGAAGCACCAGCGCATCCACACCGGCGAGCGCCCCTACCCCTGCGCGCTCTGTGGCCGCAGCTTTCGCTACAAGCAGACGCTCAAGGACCACCTGCGATCCGGCCACAGCGGAGGCTGTGCTGGTGATGGTGACCCCACCGCACAGCCCCCCGACCCGTCGGGTCCCCTCTTAACTGTGCTCGAAACCTCTGGCCTAGGTGTTAGCACCGAAGGTCTAGAGACCAATCAATGGTATGGGGAAGGGAGTGGAGGGGGAGTTTTGTAAGCCTGTGGAGTGAGCCATGATTAACTGTGTTCTAGAGGGGTGGAAAGGCCAGGAGAAAGCCCACCAACTCCCACAGAAATTAACATCTAACACACCAAGGAATTTGGGGTTCTCCACACTCAACTAGAGGCATTCTTGGAACTTCAAGGTAGTACAAGAATACTACGTCTTGAAATCCAGAAAATCTGTAAAGTCTAGCATCCTCATCTCTTCAGAGATCCCACATTAGGAATTATAAATATCCCAGCGAGGCTGAGAAGATTTGTCCTCGGGTTATCTTATGGGAGAGTAGAGTGAGAGTAGACCGAGTCTCAGGTAGACAGAGGTGTGAGAACAACTCCCAAACCTGAAGCCCATGAGAGTGTTCAGAGCCTTTTATCCTTTGATGGTGAGGTGACTGCTGGAAGGCTGTGCTCCCTCCACTGTTGGTGTTGCTGCATTCTAGAAACCAGCTAAAAAGCTCTGTTCCCACCTGTGTGGTCACATTCCCCAGGACGTGACTCAGACTGCCTTCTGGGTCTCCTTGATGGAGTCTGCGAACACATTGATATTGAGTGATATTTAATAGTTCTTTTAGGGGAACAGTTCTTAGCGTTTCCTGGCTTGGTTGTTGAACATTCAGACTCTTGTACTGACATTGAATCTGCCAGGAACCTTTGCCAGGGTCTTGATCACAACAGAGTTCTCAGTTCCATTTTCAAAGCTTGAGACCCCAGAGAAAGAGCCGGCGTAGGAGTAACAGAGCACCCAAAAGTTGGTGTCTAAATCATATTTTTGGAGTCATTTATGTCAAAATATCCCATTTCCAAGCCAGTAAGTGTGGTTTGCATTTCTGGTTTCTGATTTTCTTTTACAGTCATCAGCAACAGAGATCACAAGACTTTGCAGAAGCAGTAAGGTGTTTTCAGAAGGCACTGAGCTCTGGGCTTTTGTTTGCTTTTGTGTTGCAGTGAGGCACTTGAGCCACCAGAGCTGTCTGTGCCTCGCCTACCCCTGCCATGGCAGTGGCACAGAGGCACCGCTGAGGGCTGAGTGATCGAGCGTGCCGAGACACAGACAGCCTGTCCCGCCCGCTGTGCTGTCAGAGACCCGGCTTCGTGTGTTCTTTTCCTGGGGGTCACTCAGTCATCTGGGAGCATCGGAGCCTGCTTCCGTTCCTAAGTGTCTTTGCAGCTGGGTAGAAGTCCTTTTTCTTTTATGCCTCTCAAGTTTTCATATGTGAAACGAGGTTAAAGAGGGATGTAAGCCTCTAGAGATTCAAAAAAAAAAAAAAGTGGTTTGATATATTCCTTCTATACAAATTTTTTTTCTTCCGCTGGCTTTTGTCCAGGTAAAGTCAAAGGAGCCTAAAATCAAAGCAGAGAAGCTCTTGTAGAAACTTGACTAAAATCAATTTGATGTTTTTCTCCAAGGAGCCTAAGATAGAAGATAGACAGAATACAGAAGCAACTACACCTTGGGCAGAAAAGATAATTCTGGAACCCTTGTATGATGCCTGGAACAAGGCCTGGGAATATTTAGACATTTTCTTGAAAAGTGGTAAGGAAAGGATGCTTTCTCCTTATCTAACCGCCATTCTGCCTGGCATGTGTAACTGCGAAGAAAGTTACCTGTGCCCCCGAAAGCTGCAGCAACTCAAGATACTTTTTTTGCAGGGAGTAACTGGGGTTGAGCTCGGGACCTTGTCTTTGCTAGGCAGGTGCTGTACCACTTGAGCCATACTGCAGGTCCTTTTTGTTTTAGCTGTTTTTCAGATAGTGTTTTATACTTTTTTTTCCCTTGGGCTGGTCTTAGACCTCGATTCTCCTGTGTTTCTCATGTGGATGGGATTAGAGATGTGTACCACCATGTGTAGAAAGGTAATCACTGCTCTGTGGTGAACACAGTATCAGGAACCATGGGAGCCATCAGAATTGTGTGAGATTGGACTATAGGCAGTGGAAAAGGCCCAGGAGGATGAACGCAGCAGATAAGCATAACCCTGGTGTATTGAGATGAACAGCTTTCTAGCCAGAGTACAGCCCACCCCATGGAAAATGTAGGAGCTCTGGTTCTGGTTTCATTGGTGATCAGTTAGGAAGTTGGTATGAGATTGAACTCTGGTTTACATCTTGATCTCCCTAGGAAAGGAGGAAAAGTCAAATGCTATCTGGAGGTGAAGAGCTCACTTTTCCGAATAGATTCAATCCATGGTATTGGCAGAGGAGGGATTCCTGCTCAATGTGAGATGTAGGATTAGATTGTGTTGAAAATTCATTTTACTGCGGACACAGGGTAGTAGTGCAAGAGACCGGTGCATAGAAATACTGAGGGTGACTCCCACAGCACCTTCTGCGAAGGTCTATTGTAACAGCAGGGTCTTCAGCTTCAGAAAAAAAGTGACCACAGTTGAAATGCCCATCAAGCAAGTGCCATAAAAGGAGTGTACAGGACCATCACAGAGAGCGAATGGGGGACCCTAACCCTCTGTGTCGGCACCCTGCCAGGCAGAGAGTTCCCGGCCAGTTCTGGAGAGTTCATGTGCTGAAGGTTCAAAACTGATTCTTAGAAAAGTCAAGGCAGAATCCAACAAAGTTTTCAGCATGTAGAGGAGGAACTCTTGGCCAATCAAGTGCTCCTGAGAGAAACCTTGCAGTTAACCCCGCAGTGAAGGGAGCCCAAGGGGCTTGGCTGTCAGGACCAGATGCCACAGGGAAGAGGAAACCCAGGAAGTATGTCCCCATCTGTCACCCTCTGGACCTCTGGACTATTCCACATAAACTCCATCGCCTTTGCAGTGTGTCCAGGTGTTAACTCTAACCACATTTCACTCTCCGCTGCCTAAGGGTTTTCATCGTCACCCTTGGCTAATCCTCCGATAGGAAAACAAATAGCAATTGGTCAATTATGTAGAATGCGAGTGAAGATGGCTGCTTCTATTCTGCTGGACATTGAAAAAAATTAATTTATTTGAAAAGGAAAACCATGAGAGGAGGTAGTGAAGTTCTTTACCGAGGAAGGGGTGCACTCCCCCTGTGCCAGCACTGCGTTCGAGCTCGGGTCTCATGCTCTTGTTTCGCTCGCTTGCTCATAACTTGCACTCTCCTGCTTGAGCCATGCCTCTAGTCCTACATTTTGCTGCTTAATGGGAGATGGAGTCTCTCAGATATTTCTGCCTGAGCTGGCTTTGAACTTTGATCTTTTCTTTTCTTTTTGCCAGTCCTGGGACCTGGGCTCTGTCCCTGAGCCTCTCTGTGCTCAAGGCTAGCACTCTACCACTAGAGTCTCACTGGTTTTTAAAAACTAGTTCCTTCATTCCAAATGGGATAAAAATCCCAATTTTGTGTTAGACTTCCATGGTGAGGCTGGGTATTCCTCTTCCTGTGTCTGTTTTGGGTTTTTTTTTTTTTTTTTTTTGGTCATGAGGCCTGAACTCTGGGCCTGGGCGCTGTCCCTGAGCTCTTCAGCTCAAGGCTAGCGCTCTACCACATGAGTCATAGCTCCACTTCCGGCCTTTTCTGCTTATGTGGTGCTGAGGAATTGAACCCAGGGCCTCATGCATGCAAGGCAAGCGCTCTACCACTGAGCCACCTTCCCAGCCCCTCTTCCTATGTCTGAACTTCTTAGAGAACAACAACAACAAAAAATTTAGCAGCTGCCAGAGGCTTCTTGCTCAGTAGCAAGGAGTAAGTCTCCCCAGAGACTCACAGATGAGGACCTTTGATGTCATCAGATACATATTTTGCTATTCTTCTGAGCATTTGGTAGAAACTTCTGGCCCTGTTCTCTTTGGGGTTTTTGGAGCAAAGGAGCATTTACTTTCCACACAGGGTGTATACACAAGCCATTTTGGGTTTTGACAAATTTCACGTTCCTACAGACAAGATACGTCAGGTGAGATGGGTGAGGATGGGTGGGTCGGGGAGTGTGCTCGGTCTTAACATGGACTCATCACACAAAATATACAGTATTAATGGCTTCTAGCTAAGCCTCTGGAGTCAGACCTGGATTCTAACATCATCATAGGCAGTATGACACCTGTATTATTTAACCATCTTGAACCATATTTTTTTTTTTTGTCAGTCGTGGGGCTTGAACTCAGGGCTTGTCCCTGAGCCTCTTTGTGCTCAAGGATAGCACTCCACCACTTGAGCCACAGATCTACTTCAGGTTTTTGAGTGGTTAATTGGAGATAAGAGTCTCACAGGGACATTTCTGCTCGGACTGGCTTCAGACCCCACAATCCTCAGATCTCAGCCTCCTGAATAGCTAGGATTACAGGTGTGAGCCACCAGCACCTGGCCATATTTTCTTTATAAAATAAGGATAAACGATATCCATGTCCCCGAGGTGCTGGGGCCTGAGACCAGTGCAAGGGTTTTAGTGCAGAGCCACAGCACAAAGGAATGATTTGATAGGAACAAGCTGAGAGAAAGTCATAAAGCCAGGCTGAACTGGAGGTGGCAGGTGTCCAGAGTTAAGGCTGCTCACTCGAGGTGCAGGGTTGCTCACCTCCATATTTTGCTCCTAGTTAACCTTTCATCTTCCCCCTACCCCCATGTAGCTCCCTGTACCCATACATTTCTGGCTACAACCCCATTTAGCTCTGATTTTTTTTTAAAACCCGTATTATGTGATTGGAAATCTTGCCCAGCACCTCGTTCTGTATTAGGCCCAAAAGGTTTCTAACCAATTCTTGAGGCTGTGAGCTCATCTTCAGTCAGCTGAAGTGAGTAGTAAAAGTCTTATTTATGGCTTCTGCTCCTGTGAATCTGGTAAACTCATTTAGGAAAGGCCAGCAGTGACGTAGTATGGCATTTTGGTGCGGCCACAGTAGAGAACATTTCTAACCTCCATCAAGGTTCCTTCAAACACTTCTCTTAAAGTACTATCACTGGCCAAAACAGATTGTTTTTTGCACAAAGGAGATCTGGTTGCTGGCAGATCAAGGCATTCAAGGAAAGATGCTACTTAACTCTTTCTGACCCTTTAATATCTTGTTAAATGCGTATTGGCTGCAATCGTAAACACACAACTTCATTAAATTGCCTTCCATCACCCTTAAACCATTAAAGCAGAACAATACAACCTCATTAGAACAGTCTCAAAAGCAGTGTCCTGTAAAGTTATCCAAGATAACTTTTGAATTTCAAATAAAGGATTTGACAAAACTTCACTGAACTATGTAGCTTTGTGTTTGTTCGTGAGCAAAGCCGGTATTTGCTAGTAAATCTAGACATTGGCATAGAGGTTAAGCTGCCCAGGAGCAGACAGCATGTTTGTTTTTGTTTTTGTTTTTTTGTCAGTTGTGGGGCTTGAACTCTGGGCCTGGGCGCTGTCCCTGCACTCTTCAGCTCAAGGTCAGCGCTCTACCTCTTGAGCCACAGCACCACTTCAGGTTTTCTAGTGGTTTATTGGAGATCAGAGTCTCAGACTTTTCTGCCTGGGCTGGCTTTGAACCATGATCCTCAGATCTCAGCCTCCTGAGTAGCTAGGATTACAAGCGTGAGCCACCCGCACCCAGCTTAGCACGTTTGTTCTTTATGATGTTAGCATGTGGATGCCAAAAAAATTGTCTTATGAGAAAGCCAGCAGAGTAAGAGTTAAAAACTGAATTCTAGTCCTAGCTTAACATTTTCTACTTGATAAGGGGCAAATTAACTTATGAAGATCAAACTTTCCTAATGCTTGAAGATTGAACAAGATGGTAAATTTTGGTTTCTTCCAACTGTATAGAATTTAAGTTTTACTTCTGTAAATTTTGAATACTGAAGTATCTTATGTGTAGCTTTGGGTGCTTTTGTAAGGATGAAGAATCTAGTAAGGAAAATGGTCCTGGAAAGGAAATCTGGAGGCCAGACCTTTAGTCTTGCTTTCAGTTTCCTCTTTTGTCATGTGAAGATAATTCCTAGTTCCCAAATATTTTGGGGAAAATGAGGGAAGATTAAAAAGTACTTTGAAACATTTGGGTTAAGAAGAAAGTACAGGAGAATTGTCGATGAGTTAGACATCTTGGATGATGCTGATGCTTCGTTGATTCAGAAGAGAAACAACTGTGCATGCAGACTGAAAACAAAGCTTCATGTAGAATATACCTGATTGACCCATATAATGTGGGTCCCCCAACAACTTTCATGAGAAAATCAGTTTTAAGCTAAGTGCTGGTATCTAGAATCCTCAGAGCTACTGAGGAGACTGAGATCTGGAGGATTAAAGTTTGAAGCTAGATCAGACAAATGTCTGCTCGACTCCATTTCTAAAACAGCAAAAACCCAGGCTAGAGGCCTGGCTCAAGTGGTATAGCACATATGAAACCCTGAATTCATTTGGGCTGGGAAGGTGGCCCAGTGGTAGAGCGCTTGCCTTGCATGCCTGAGGCCCTGGGTTCGATTCCTCAGCACCACATAAGCAAAAAGAAAAAAGCCGGAAGTGGCGCTGTGGCTCAAGTGGTAGAGCACTAGCTTTGAGCTGAAGAGCTGAGGGACAGCGCCCAGGCCCAGAGTTCAGGCCTCACGACCGGACCCAAAAAAAAAAAAAAAAGAAACCCTGAATTCAAACCTTTATACCAGAAAAAACAACAACAACAAAAAAAACATTTTGTATCCTTTGAAAAAAATTGGAAAAATGGCAAGCATGTTACTAGAGAGACTGGATTAAACATGCAGAGTTCAAAATTAAGGATGTTTGACAATATCAATTTTTGGTCTTGAGTTTATAATTTTTATTTATTTTTGGTTGGTCATGGGGCTTGAACTCTGGGCCTGTGCACTGTCCCTCAGCTTTTCAGTTCAAGGTTAGTGCTCTAGCCACAGCACCACTTGCGGCTTTTTCTGCTTATGTGGTGCTAAGTAATGGAACCCAGGGCCTCATGCATGCAAGGCAAGCACTCTACCACTGAGCCACCTTCCCAGCCCCGGGTTTATAATTTTTTTTAAGTTCAAGTATCAATTCAGTAAGTAAA